TATTCCTATCTAGAGTTCTAACCCTCAAACTATTAACAACTATTAAATTGATCAAGTCTAACAAAGAGAATAGAAATTACGCACAGAGTAAAATAAAGAAATTTATATAAACTAGTAAAATTAAACCAATCCGTCGTAACAAGGGTTCACATAAGGTTTGTGACCCTAACTACAATAAAGAAAACTAGCCAACCATTATCATGGCTGACATTGCAATATTCAACATCAATAAGAAAATAGAATGGAAGAACAAAGATGAATGAGAAGATCTCTCGGAAGCGCTCTCTCTGAAGCACGACGGTTCTCTGGTATCAGAATAGGATCCCTAATTCTGTCATGAGCATCCTATTTATACGCCTCGCTTATTTCTTCCAAAAATACCCTCTAGACAGCACGGTGCATCTTTCCCGCAAACCGGCGCCAGTCGGCGCCATGCCTTTGTCCAATTTGAAAAAGCCGGTCTTGATTCCTCGCAAAATGGCGCCAGTTGGCGCCGTTGTGGCGCCATTCCTACTCCAAAAATCGGCGCCATTTTGGCGCCACTGGGCGCCGCTTCTCTGCCCAAAAATTGCATTTCTCCAAAATCGGCGCCAATTGGCGCCACTTGCAAAGCACTGCTGCGAAGTTCGTAAACCGGCGTCAGTTAGCGCCGGTGTGGCGCCATTCCGCGCCATGTTGCTGGAATTTGTACCGTGCTACACCCGTGTGAAGTTACGTCAACAGGCTTTTTATAATTTTGTAATTTTCACTTCTTTTACCTGTATAATTTTGTAATTTTGTAATATCATCTGCCGAGGTCTCAACCCCAGGGTTACCTGAACCTGAAATATGTGCCCCAAACGTGGGGTGAGATCTCTAAACAGAAATCTCAGTAAGATAAGGGGTCCTCAAAGATCTTCCACCCCAAGCTCACTTACATGTGCAATATAAGTTCTAAAAGCAGTAATTCAATATCAGTTCCAAAATCAGTGCAATGCAGCAGATAATCATGCCATGTGTGTTATAACTATTCTACTGATCAAAGAAGTGTAGGAATACGTCTATTACCCAAATAGTACACGCCCATACTGTACCCGCCCACAGGACCACCCCATGGCTCCTGTTTAGGCAAAACACCACATACATATCATAAGACATTTGCACTTAACAGCTCAATAGCATTTCAATAAAACAGTACATGAAAACACATCATGCATATAACCATCCCCCCATGGGATATGGTGGAACAAACAATGGGTAAACTGAGGATACGAAAGCTTACATTGCAAGCTAGCTATCTAAGGCAAGAGTCCACACAAGCTCAAAGCCCAAGCACAGCAGAATCACAATCTGTTTTGGACCAGTAATCATATCAATATTCAAACATACAAGCATATGACATAAAGACAACACCTTTCATTTATGTTTCATGTCTTAGGCTTCTCACAAAGCCACAAGCCCTTAATCACTTAGATTCTGACTTAACAAGTCATTACAGAAGTCCAACTTCATCAATCTATGGTCTACAAACCCATAACTCAGTTCTGTATGAACAGTACCGTTACTGTTCACGCAAACCCAGAATATCCGGATATATGTCGGGGACATATCCGGATATCCCATATCCGGATATCCATATTCGGAAATCACAAGACCCCATATCCGGATATCAATATCCGGATATTTCGCGACAGAATGCAGTTTCTGCATTTCGCGAGATATCTCTTCCAAGGTTCCATTTTTAACACTTCTAAACGTTAAAGCATGCATCTTTAAGCCCATTTAGGTTCATATACTGGTTGCCCATCCATTTAACTCATTAACATGCCAAGACTCAAGCTTTAACCATAAAACTCATGATCAAAGGTTCAAGAATATACCCAATGCCTCAAAACAGAAATGGATGATGCTCTTGGAGCTCACTTGAAGCTCCCAAAGCCAGGCTAAACACAACCCACGAAAATGGTGGTCAAGAGTGGTTCTTTCTCTTCAAAGGTCACTCCTTGAAGCTCAAAATGTTAGAACAAAGCTCCTACAACTCAACTCTCATAGGTCATCCCCCAACACTCACTCAAACAAAGGCAAAACAACTCAGAAGACACCCTCCTCTCCCTTACAACCACTCTACCAAGTGATTACAATGTATAAAAGAGAAGAATCAAAGGAAAAAGAGGTGACTTGAGAGTTTTTCAAGCAAGAATGGCCAAGGAGAAGGTGACAAGCATGGAGACACCCACCAGCAGCCAAAACCCACGCATAGAGGCTGGAGTATCAGCCTAGGGTTGTGTAAAAGGGTCTATTTATAGGCCACTTAAAATTAATCACACAGTATTAGCGATAATAACTATGCTTAATATTTTAATCCCAAACTTTGGAATCTGAACTTATTCATTTTTTTAAGATTTGTCATATTTTTATTTTATTTTTCGCAGCACCCTTCCGGTACGCGCTTTTCCATAGCTAGTATCAGTTCTGGCACCAGTTCTCATTATTTTGACTTGAAACTTGAAATCACAGTCCTACAAATTATTCTAGGAATATTCATGCACTTATTATAATTTTCCGGGATACTTCATCGGTACGCATTTATACTGAGTAACAGAACTGGTATCTGCACTTTTCGTCAGAAAAGCGACTTTCAACATTATTAATTACTTTCTATAATTATTTAAGCCTTCTCATAATTATTAGGGTCAATTATGAAATTATTTTCTAATTCTCATATTTATTTAATTAATTTCCTAATTTAACGGTGCGAGTTCTTACATTCACCCCATCTTTTTATGGATTTTGTCCTCAAAATCAGAAACATACCTGTCTCGGAAGTCGGGGTACTGCCGGAGAAGCTCGTCCTCTCGCTCCCAGGTACACTCCTCAGGAGTTCTTCCTGTCCACTGTACTTTGACCATCAGAATGATCTTGCTCCTCAGTTGCTTCTCGCCACGATCGAGAATCTTAAGTGGTCCGACGGGAGTCTTTAGGTTCTCCCGAACCTCCACATCATCTGGTTGCACCACGTGCGAGGGATCCGCTACGTACTTCCGTAGCTGAGACACATGAAACACGTCGTGGATGATGTGGAATTCGATTCAGAGTGGAACCTAGAGAAGGAACAAGGGTAAAATTAATAGTGCTTTGTTTCATCACACGTGAAAGGGGGAGAGAACCGGTCGAGGCCGAGACTAAAGAAGGCCCACTTCAACCTAATGCATTGTCGAGCTGAGATTATCTATCAAAGGGGATCGGTTTTTCACTTGTTAAAGTAGTACAACCTCGTCCTCGTTTAGAGGGAGTTGATCTCTGCTTGCTTCCTCCACCTTGGTGACTACGAAGAAACAGTTGTTGTTTTTCTTCTTCCGTATACTCCTTGCCAAAGAGCCAATGACAAGCCCCTTTGGGCAGCTTCTTGATGAGCTCCCTTTCTTTTGCAGCATCATCTCCATCTCGGCCAGAGACTAAGCTAGAACCTTGACCAGGGGTACCTATCCCAACCCAAGAACTTAATGGGTAAAAGCAAGTTCACCAGAATTGATTGGAAGAAGGGAAGCGACCCCAAAAAGGGACTATAATCCCAAGAACACAGTACCACTCTCAATATCTAAGACAGCTCACAATCCCTCACTCAAACGAAATGTACAAACATCCAAAACCATAATCAAGGAGTAAAGTAGTGTACAAATAGAAGAGATGTTTGGGAAAAAATACTTGAGTGTGTGGAAAGGAAGACGACGAAAGCGGCGCAAATCGCTGGACAGAACGTCAATGAGAGTAAAAGGAAACGCAAAGGAGGAAACTTCAGAGAACAAATGAGATGTGAAGAAGGAAGAGGCTCAAGTTTGTAAAAGCCTCTGGGCGCAAAGATGAAGAGACAAGGGCACAAAAGTAATCTCACACGATACACATTTAATGCGTGAAATCATGTTTTGCGAAAAGTAAGGGCGGCTCACTCCCAACGACATATGAATCACGAATCAACAAGTGACACGTGGCCATGCATAACCGTCAAGTAACTAAGACGCAGAGAGTCACGTTGATGTGATGCCGTCTCAGATCATAACAATGATTCGACCTCTTCCTTCCAAATAAAGGGAAACCACGCAGAAAACGTTGCTAAAGCCGACTTACACTGAAGCTCGGCCCAACATGATTAATGACAGCATAAAATTAACCTGATATTTGACATAAGAGCCTCTTAGGTAGAGGTCTAACCATGGCTAAACTCGGGTTAAGGATGATCTCAGCCAAAGTGAACTCGACATCATCATCACTTTACATTCATGCTCCAGAACGCTGAGATTATCGCACGAATATTGCACCCTGGCAGTCCGAGGTCTCGAACTACAGGGCTAGGGGGGCAACTGTTATGGACCGGATCCATATCCCAACAACTTATCCAACAAAGGATAAGGCCTATCCTAATAAGATCCTAGATAACAAAGGATCAAGGAATTGCACTCCTATTAGGACTCTAAACCTACAAGTAACCCCTTCTATAAATAAAGGGTTGAAGCCTCTCAGGTACACACTTTTAACCTAATTACTCTTGCTGCCAACACTGAGCACACCCATCCACAACTTGGCTATAAGCCTATTGCTTGTACACAGTAATTGGCATATTGGCTTTGAGCCAATTAGATATCTCTCTTGTAGATATCTCTAAGCGCATACCTACACGGTAATTCTCACGGTCTACCTAGGACCAAACACTATCTGTAACTGTGTAATGGGCTAGTGTAGTCTAATCATTCTTTAGCCAGTGCTGCAACAACAAGCACTCCTGGTTTATTATCACTTGGAATAGTACTTATACCTCTCGTTACTTTTTGCACCGGTTCCCTGGAAATATACTTTATGCTAGCCATTTGAATTGGTTTGTGTATTATGCAACCACTTTCATGTTCTTTTGGTGACATAATATTTTGCTCAGGCAACAATATTTAGACCTGTGAATGTGCATCTATGTAGAAACTGTTATTGACATTGAACTGAATCAACTGATATGAATCGCTGAGACAATGTAGGTGATTGAACACATGGATGAAGATCAAGCGTGTCTATTTGGGGATGTGGCATTAGGTTTATTCTGTCCAAGGATTCTCATTGTTTCTACACCAAATTTTGAATATAATATAGTGCTCCAGCGTTCGAATCCTCCAACCCAAGGACAAGAGGAATCAGACGAGAAAACCCTCTTACAATCATGTAAGTTTCGCAACCATGACCACAAATTTGAGTGGACCAGAGAGCAGTTCAGACAATGGGCATCTGACTTAGCTACGAGGCACAATTACAATGTGGAGTTCAGTGGGGTTGGTGGTTCTGCTGATGTTGAACCCGGTTTTGCTTCCCAGATTGCTGTGTTTAAAAGGGAATGGAGACTTGAAGATGACCTACTGAAGCGTGCTGATACAGAACACCAATATAATGTAATATGGGAATGGAATAGTAGAAACAAATGATTTGCTTTTTCGGAAGAAAAAAAAAAATGACTATTCAGTACAGTTTTTTGAGGTGCTGATGACTAACTGCTGGGTTTTTTTTGAAAGAAGACAGACAAAATAGAATTGATTATAGGATAGATAGTATGTTTAGATAGGGCATCGATTTGCTTTGATCATGTCGTATGACTTCTGAATCTTGATAATCCCTTATGAAGTCTGAAATTGATTGCTAGTAAGAAATATTGGGGATGAGATTAACTCCATTGTTCATTTAACCTTGTTTTGTTTTTGGGATGAATATTTCTCATGTTATAGAAGATAATTTTATTTCCTACACAGATGTAAAACTGTGTGGGGTTTATGTTTTTTTTTTTTTACGTGGTTAAATACACTTTTATGTGTGTAAGAGATAATTTTATCCATACAACATAAAAAAACATAAATCTTTTTAGTTTTTTATTTCTTCTTCTTTGGTATAAACAAAATGTAGTGAATTTACATGATGTAAAAATTTAAATAAAATCTTCTAATAGAAATATATAGAAATAAAATATTAAAATCAAAATATATATTTTATCTACACGCTGAATGTTTCATTTTATTTTTTAAAAATTTAACCAAGTGAAAATATAAAATAGCCAGAAATGTTAATTTTTTTTATAGATATCTTTAATTCCTTTGGGATTTTAAAATAAAAAATTACTTTAACTCATTATTTTGAACTTCTTCATTGGTTTTATATTATTTTTTCCAAATATTCTTTTAATGCATAAATCATGGCAAATGTTTAATAGAAAAATATATATTTATTTAAATTTAAACTACAAACTTATGATTAAGTTGTTCATGGCAATGTATCATATTCAAATGCACAAAAATTGGAAAAACATTTGCATCGACGTGACGTATATATATATATATATATATATATATATATATATATATATATATATATATATATATATATATAAAAGAAATTGCTTATAATTTTATTGAGGGAGTTATGGACAAAATGTATTTGCTTACTAATGGATTAATGCATGATCTGGTTACACACTTACACATGTTCACAATACACATGAAGAGATTACATAAACAAAATGTAAAAAAAAAAAAGATTAAAAAATATAGGCACTTAGAGAAAAAATAATTGCCATAAATAAAGATGACTGCCACCTGAGTGGCTGACAATTGGTTTTTCCCCCTCTAAAAATATATATTAGTCTCTAAGTATCGACAGATTACTGTTATGCATGATAATTTTTTTATTTATATAGTAAACCCAATGTTTAGTCGCATTTAATTATGGATTAATAGTTTTTTATGTTGCAAGAGAAATTATTAACTCTCCAACAAAAACAAAAAACCATGGGATTCATTAGATTTTTTTAAAAAAAATTATTTTTTTATCTTATAACCACCTTTGTTATTATTGGATGAAAATCAATAACTTGGATTTGATGTGATTTTGTAATCGTTGATTTGATTTTGATCTAACGATAATGAAAATGGTTGTAAGAAATAATAAAAAACAAGTGAATCATCCTCAACGATTTCAAATCAAAGATGAAGTTATAGTCTATGAAACACCGATACTTCAAAAATCCTGACGTGTCGTGTCCGACACTTTTCGACACTCCAATACTCGTCGCAAAGACTCAAAAAAAATTCAAAGGTTACGTTGCGTTGCATTTTGAGTTTCAACAATTAGATTCGCTAGATTATAATTACAATTTTATTGAGTTTAATATAAATATTTGGGATATATTATGTTTCTTTTCAAAATTGATGGATATTATAAGTTTAGCTTTATTTTTTTTGTTAAATTAATGAATACTAAATATAATATACAGTACATAAATTAAAAATATTATATAATATCAAAATATGTCCTAACGTGTCGAAATTTAACATTTTTTAGAATTAACGTGTCGGAGTGTCATGTCGTGTCGTATCATGTATCCCGTGTCAGTGTCGGTGCAACATAGATTATAGTGTTTGGAATCCATTTTTTTCCTTGAATCAGCTCGAAACTTCTAATTTTAAGAATCACGTTGTAATACTGATTAACTATTCTCTCTTCATATTTTTTTACTTTCAAACCCATAACTATTTTGATCCCAATAAGACAATCAAATACTCTCTTTAATTTTTTACCTCCACTAGTTATGCATGTAACTTATGTTATAGTCTAATTGATTTACTTCAATCATTCTTTTAAAAACTAAAATGGAGAAGGCACAATTTACATACCGTGCGGACTTTAATGGTGTATTGGGATGAGAGATTTAGGGGAGAAAACTAGAAAAGGAGGGAACAAAAAGGCTATCATTATTTGAGAGTCTTGTAAAAATAGGAAAATAGAATGATAATTTTTATTAAATTCTCCAAAACCTTCTCTTTAGCATTTGTTGAATTTTTTAAAATTAGGGAGTTTTTGTGGAGTAACAATTTAATTTACTTATTTACCCATATTTCGAAATTACACAAACATGACCACAAATTTTAGTGGACTAGAGAGCTATTCAAACTATAGGCATCTGACTTAGCTGCATGGAACAACAATTTCGAGTTCAATGGGTTTGGTAGTTCTGCTTATGTTGAACCTAGCTTTGCTTCATGAATTATTGTCTTTAATAGGAACAAGGACCATAAGACGATATGCTGAAGCATTATGATATAAAACACCATTATAATAATATATAGGATATATAAAATAATTGAAAGTGGAAGAAAATTAAAGAAATGGAGGAAAATAAAAGAAAGTGAAAGAAAATTTAACGGTTCATTTTTTCTAAAGTTACTTTAGACAACTTTATTTAATGGTTACTAAAACGATGTCGTTTTAGGGTGAAAATCATGGTGTATTTGTAATTTTAATTAATTTCAGGGTTATAACTCTATTTTTTTAATTTTTAACTATAAAACGACGTCGTTTCGGTAAACATTAGATAAAATTATCTAAAATAATATTAGATATTTTTTCCCCAAAATTTAAATAAGTCAAGAACAATTAGAGAGGCTCTAGTGTCTCCGAAGTCCAAGATTCTAGATAATCATAACAATTCCTCTATTGCACTACTTAACTATTGTGTTGCCCATTTGCCTCCAAATCACTAACCGTTTCCAGCTCACCCACTTTTGGGACATTCTTTTCTATGAAATCACTTGCTAAGTAAGCAAGTGCTACCAACCTCCTACACCTTTTTCTTATGTACAAATTAATGGGGAACCATATTAATACTCCCCCCAAATTAAAAACTTAGTCCTTCAGGTAGAATGATAGAAACTATTTGTTGATAGCTGCAAAATCCTCCCAAGTGTTTTCAAAAGATGGAAGATGCTTCTATTGAATAAACTCCTCCAATTGCCCCTAAGGGAGCCTTCTCCGTTGTAATAGCTCTCCCACTCTTCTATCACCATTGGGGGCAATGATTGTGTCAGACTTGTAGTAATTTACAGCTGGATGAATTCTATAAGATGCTGGTAATTCCAATTTATATACAATTGCTCCAATTCAATAAGGATTTTATATGGGCAGTAATAACGTAGATTGAACTTCTCATTATACCTCCTTGCTAAGTACTTAAGCTTATAAGGACGTAGTTTTAAATAAACCATACCTCCTACTTAAAATTTGATATCTCTCCTATTCCTATTAGCTTGAACTCTAATGCGGTCTTGAGCTTACAACAAATTTTGCAACAAGTCACTAAGGATGATTGTCTTTTTCCTATATCCTGCAATTGACTTCATCCAATGGAGAAAGGGACTGCCCAACTCTAAAAATAGGAGGAGGTTCACAACCATAAAGAGCTTTATAAAGTGTCATGCCCATTGTCTTTGTAAGAGGAGCTATATCAAAACTTTTCCCTGTGCAACCATTTGGGTCTGTGGTTTGGTTTTGTGATGGGAAATCATCTCAAATATAACTCAAGGCTTTGGTTTTGACCACCTCATTTTGCCCATTACAACGAGGGTGGTATGGAGTACTATACTTCAATTAAGTTCATGAACATTTAAACAGTTCAGCCCAAAATAACTATAATAATAGAAGAATGGGAAGGTTACATTTACAATCTATTTTTATTTACAATTTCTTACGACCATATCTTAACTGTTGATTTTCGTCAATCAACGGTTAAGATTATCGCAAATTAAATTTATTAATTAATTATTAATTAACAATAAATGACAACCGTTGATTGACGGAAATCAACGGTTAAGATATGATTGTAAGAGTTTGTAAACTATTTGGGTTGTAAATATAATCCCTCTCATAGAAGAATTATGAAAAATAAATAGTATTATTTTAGTGGTAAGTGTAGCAAGCATCCATGAACAAGTCGCAAGTAGGGTAGAAAAATCGAATTGACACGGGCACGAATACACTCAACATGAACACAATATGAATTTGAAAATGGGTCAAAACTTTCAAGACGAAGACAACCCCCTTATTTTACGGATTGACATGACATGATACGAATAACCCGTTAATCTAGAAATGTGTCGCTTATTATACGAGTTGGCACAATAAGACACGAAACAAAAAATTTTATGTCAATTTTTACCGACATGAATTTGAAAATAGGAAGACACAAACACAAATTTCTTATGTCGTGTTAAAAATTGCTAACCCTAATCACTAGTTTGATCCCTACGAGTGACAAAGTTATTATATATTTTACATGAAATTTCAAAAAATCGGATTGACTAGAAAACTAGTGCAAGTTTAACCTCACATCTAAGCCCTAAATTTGCTAATCCAAATCGATCTCCAGCTAAACAAATACATTGTTGAGTTATGTTAAATGCATAATTGATATTGAAGTTTATTTTATATTTTTATTTAAGTGAGTCGACTCATCAATCTATCAATATGTTATAATACGATGTGTGTTGATATTTTCCACCTATTTGTAAATATAGATCAACCCGACTCACCTTATTTTTTGTCAAGTTAATTAGAGGCAAATCAAGTTAAGCTGGGATTGATTGACAAGTATTACCAACTTTATATGCCACACACTTGATCCCAATTGACACTTATAGACTTCACATTAGATAACCCTCATGCATGACATTAATAATGTAGCATTTTGTTAACTATATCATCACATAACGGAGCAAACTCAATAACAAAGAGGGGTTACAATCTAAACGAAAATTAAACAGGGACCAAATTTGAAAAGAGAATCCTTAGTTCCAAAAAATTACGAGTCATTATTTTGAATTAAAAATATTAATTTAAATAAAAA